AAATACTGATACAAAATGTATTTCTGAAAAACTATCGCGATACATTTGTATTGCGATACTGGCCAACCCTGCCCTGTATTACGTTTCTCCCCTCCTTCCATATAACTCACATCAAAACCGAAGTTGACCTGCTCTAATTTCTTTTCCATTTCATTGAGATACATCATGAAAAGTGGAGGTGACGATGGACAGCACTGCTTTAGCCCTCTTTTTATTGAGGCGGGTAGTGTAGTTCCTATTTCCCGTGTTATAACCTTACTGTCTTATACACTTGCTGAAGTAACTTAACCAAATTCGTATCTAAATTATACTCCTTTAGCCGATCCCAGAGTTTTTCCTGGCACATTATCGTACGCTCACTTGATGTCCAAAGAAGCTAACCATAAAACAGTTAGGTTCTTCATTGTTATGTCTAAATTGAGTGGTGACGAATAAGTTATCTTCGTCTTCTATCTCTCCGGAATTTTGAAGCTCACCCAGTATTTGCATATCTTGTGCCCATTCCTCAAATATCCGCATTAGTAGAGAGTTTTAGTAGATCGTTCCGATCCCTCCGATAGCCCCGATAACGGTACTATGCATGCACAAGGGAGGCGGTGGCGGAGTATCGGGTATCGTTATCGGAGTCATGGGAACGATCTACTAAAACTCTCTAGTATCTGCATGTTATCGGGCGATATGACTTAATGTCGTCCTTGTTTCTTCTGCCTTTATATATTAGTCTCATTTTACTGCTGCAAGGGTTTGCAAAGCAAAAGCTTGGGCTGAGCTTCAGATATTCTTAGTGTTGGGCTATTGATTATCATATCTAATTGACATGAGCCGTTACCTGAATGTTTGGCCATGCTGATTGTCATGAACCCGAGCACTCGACTAGGGGTTATGAAAATCGCTTACGCCACGGTGTCACGTGACTCTCGGTGCGAAATCGTGATGTCATGTTACGTCATGCTGTCAACAAGGTTAATACATCTAGTGACTTCCTCAAATTAAATCGATTTAACGCAGTGAGTTACGTGACGTCACGAGGCCACGTGACATCACTTGACATGTATTGACACCATGACGTCACGTGACAGCTTGACACATGGTTAATCATAGTGCCAACAAAGGTGCCATGAAAACCCACAATTTATCATACGTTGCAATTATGTATATGACGATTCGATCAACAGATAGAAATACAGCCGCCAATTGTTTATTCCCATGTGTTCATTTTGTGATACTAGCAAAGAAGAAACAAAATATAACCTTGAACCGTTTTGAACCGGTTACCGTTGTTTTTTTCGGTTCGGTTCCGGTTCAGTTCCAAGATGGCGGCGAAGATTTCGGTTCGGTTCAGTTCCGGTTCGGCTAAAAATAACGGTTCTGTTCCGGTTTTCGGTTCGGTTCGGTTCCGGTTCGACACCCTGCCCACAGCAAACCGCCGGGGGACCTGCCCGACCGCAACGTGATCCCCGCAACGTTCCGCCGAGCGTGGGGGACACGGGACGGGTGGCATTTCCAGGTTTTAATGCGAAAGCATTAACTGTCCCATGGAGCGAGCCGACATCATCAGCTTTGAAGCCGCGCCCTCCTTTCTTCAAGTGAAGCCAGCTCCCAGCTATGAAACCACGGGAAAAGCCTACACAAACGGCACCTAGTTTTCCCGATCCCAAAGGAGCGGAGTAAAGCTGGTGGATTTCGGCTTCGGTCTCACTGGCTGGTGCGCGTCGACGAGGCTCCCGCTGGCCGCTGCGAGTCAGTTGCAACGACCGCCACCCCATGGCGCTGCCCGTCCGCCAGCGCTAGGGAGCCTACATACTCGCCGACCATATAGGCCCTAGTCAGCACGCTACAGCGCGCCGGTAACACGAAACGTCTAAGGTCAGAGCGACGAGGAGGGCGCGCTCTCCCGTTTACACATACGCTGCATACGATATAAGGAAGCGGAAGAATGACGTGCATGCTTTCACATTCACAACTCATAACAAGTGCTTAGGTGCACCTCGAGCGTTTTTCTTTTTTCATTCGACAATTATGGGGATTTTCTCTTACTTCGCTCTGCACTCCCCCATTTCCGTTTCCTCCTCATCGAACGTAGTGCAACGCCTCTTGGATCCGTACCTTTTGAGTCCCATGGGCATGCCGTCTGGGCCTGTTGCTGTACCTGCTGGAACCTTACTTTCTGCCATTTCCCATTATCTTGTGGTCGTCTCCATTATTACACAAATCTTCTCCTTTGCTCAAGCTGGGAGAAAGCCGATTCGATTGTCCCCTCCAGTTTTATCAGCAAGTGTTGGCAACACTGTCTTTCTCCCCTGCGCTTTAATGTGCTCCCAAAACCTTTTCGCCGCATCCCTATATTTTATTTCCATCATCCACTGCACTCCTACTTTAGCCCTGTATTAGAGCCAATGTCCCCTTTTCTGCTCTTGGAAATTCTCCCATTTTGATGCTACTTCGACTGGCAAGACTCCCCTTTTCCTTGCTCCCCTATGCCCCCTAGATGCCTTGTGATGAACCCACTGCGCTTCCCCACTCCGCATGCGCGGCCAACAGACGGCCATCTTGCATGCAGCGAAATCACGTTGCAGAGGTAGGCTGGCAGCAGCGTGCCGCAGACGTTTTCTACTCTTTCGTCGTCATTCACTAAACAAGTTGTTTTGAAACCCTGTGTAAGTGGTGTACGCAACGCCACTGACAAAAGAACCCTTTATTGCGATGCAATTTTAAGGAAAAAGAGTGCGTTTTCTTTGCCTCTTTCGCAGAACTTGATGACGTAGGGTGGGGGTCGCAGTTCCCCAGTGACGATATTTGAATACGGCTTAGATTGAACCAGAGCGTTGCGTGAGCACTCGATTTGGGCTCGTGATAATCGATATCTCGAAAACATTTGGGTAGTGGCTCGCGTCCAATTGCGGGAATGACGACAATAGCCGAACCCTAACAACGTCTGGAACTCGGCGAGTGTCCTGTGCTTTGCCAAACTCCAGATCATGTGGCCGCTTGTTCTGACTGTGTTGAGGGGGTGAACGCTGCCCATTCTTTTTTGCAACGTTTATTGCGTGGGGATAAAAACAAACGCATTTCACTGGACATAAACGTCACGGTTTCGTTCTAAGCGGTATCTGCGCAAAGTACAAAAATTGAAGTACCGCCCCTATAAAGCCCGACCTGGAAAACATTTTTCAAGCAGTGAAAATCCTCCTTGCCAGCTTTCTCATTTCCCCCTCTCCCACTGCTATCTTGACCGGGGGGGGGGGGGGGGGGGGGACCTCTTTTGTTGGTGCATCTTGGAGCCAGATAAGCCGAGAGCTTGTCCTCGCTCACCCAGCCCCCAAGATGCAGCAAAGCGCTGTCAAGATTGCGAAGAAATGGGAAGGTTGATGATTTTCACCCTGGTTGAAAAATACTTTGCAGGTGGGCTTTCGAGTCAAGAGGGCTAGGTGTAACTTTATAAAACATGTAATCCACCACCAATACAGGACCAATGATTGAAGCACTAAAAAAAAAAAAAAGAATGGTTGAGTATTACTGTTTAAGGGGGGACACTACCCAAAAAAGTTGATTTTTGAACCACTTGTCTGATTTAAATTATAGTTACAGGGCTTGTTTCTGTTGATGTTGAGGACCGTTCTGCCAATTTTTGTTAACCTGGGTGAAGTACAAAAAAAATTGCAAACGTTCAAAGAGGAAAGTTGGTGTGTCTGCACAGGAAAACTATTGTTTTGAAATTACTTATAAATTTGTCGTTTTCATGTGTTACATTCCATTAGGACAGTTCAGAGCAGATAACTATGGAGCTATATTTCTATGTAATACCATCTTTCATGACAAAAAAACCACATAAACACAAATACAGTTTTTTTAGATTTCCATCCTTTGTCTAAACTTAGTTCTTGAGCATGAAAAATGACAAAAAAAAAATACAAGCTCATAGTTATCTTCCCCTTAAAGGGAAGCTACGGAGCTTCTTGGAAAAAATGAGTTAGAAGTGAATTCTAGTGTATTTTTACCCCGTGAACCCGAATACCCAAACCATTTGCTGCGTAAGTATTGTTAAACGCGAGAAAAACGCGAAAGACAGTCGCTGTCCGTGACGTCATCGACGGCTCTTTTGGCTGCCCAAGGCTAGGGAGGCGGGGCTTCTGTCCTATTTTGAAATTGCTCGTATGGCTCTCCGGCGCGTCGCATTGAAATATAATTTGATATCTGTTATTCCAAAGGTGAAATGAACGCAATTCAAGCGTTTCTTCTCAAATGTAGAAGTGCCCCATCTTCCCTTTAAAATTTCACCCCAGAAAAACTCGTAAAAATGAATTCAAGTTTCGTAATAACAAAACGAGTTTTCCTAAACTGAAATTTATGCCAAAAAGTGGAATGGAGAAAAATGTGTTCAAAGTGCTCCAACCTCTACCTTTTCTTTATAGTTGGTGGACCGAAAATAATTTCTAAAAATTAACTATGCAGTGTAAACTAATGAAACTTTCTGGGAATACTCTCTAGATGTTGGTGGATGTAGATATGACATTTTTCAAAATCACCTTTTTTTCGCAGAAATTGTTTTTTCTGGGTAGTGTCCCCCCTTAAGGCAAGTCGAAATGTAGTGTGCCCTGCAGGCAAAGATAGAAAGGACAAGCACTAGAAAGCCAGTACGGGAAAGGAGGGCAGAGAAAGGGAAAGCGCTAGAAAAGTTTGAGGGGAGATCTCAACCCCCCAGCCTTCCTAGTGCACGCCCTTTCCATCCCTCGCCTGCCGTTGCCTTCGCCTGTACCGCAGGCAACTAGTGACAGAGTATAGGTTCGACATTTACACGCAAGTTTTAAAAAGTCCCGGAAGTGACGTATTGGCATCCGATTGGTGGAGGCAAGTGCCTCCACCAATCATATGCCAACACGTCACTTTGGCGACCTTTTAAAATGTACATTTAAATATCCAACCTGGACCTCCTGGTACATCAGCACCAAATGGTTTTATACCCTTCCAACATTCCAAAAGTAACCCACAGGGAGTCTGTGTCCGGTTTTGATACATTCAATATATTTATTTACTCGGTTTAGACAAAAGTCAAACAAAGCGCCATCATCATCATTTTTTTTCCTTTTTGATGTGTCGTTCCTTTCAGCATACTATGTATATAAAAATGTTAAAACAAAAACTTGACTCAATTCACGAGCAGTAACATGCACGCACGCGCACACACACACACATGCACACACAAGGATACTCGGTGCTTTACAAAAGTTCTTTCATTCCTACGACGAAACCACAAAAAAAAAAGTTTTTCCTAGATTTCTGTTGCTTCCACCGCATCCATTCGTTCTTCGCAACAGCAGCCATTACCGAGTTCTCGTTTGTCATTTCCTTTGTCCTGGGACTGCCCACTGTGTCCCAGGGCGTGCACGCGACAACCTAGCAGACGAGGGCGGCTTGCCTTCGAGCCGTTCGGAGTACCATCCGGCGTCGTTATCTAAGGTCCTACAAAAACTCCTTGGCCATGCAAGGACACGCTCGGACCTCCCGAGATGCCCTAGGACAACAGTCGTGCCATCCTTTCCTAGCATTTTATCCTCCCCCAAACACCCAAGCTGGAGGCACGATGCACAAGATCGTCCATATTGGGACCGATAACCGCATCGTAAACCACCGTGTCCCGGAACTTCCCGTGGGAACGTTTACGAAGACACACCCCCCCATCTCTTTCTGGGCACCGTTCCAAACTCCAGCCAGCATTGTTAGTGTCCTAGAGCTCCTCCTGGCTGTCTGAGACACACGGGACCAAGACGGGGACCCTTTCCTACAAGCACGAGCCACTCCAAAAGCCCCCAACCAACGCTGTTAATGTCCTAGGACGCTGCAAGCCGACCCGACAAACTTTGAGACGAGGAAGGTCGGAGGATAAAAAATACTCGGGGGGGGAAAGGGGGCCCGTCTCTTTTTGCGGACTCCTCCCTCCGAGAGATCTTTGAAACGACTTTCCAGACCGTCGCCACGCGTCTCTCCAACACACACGCACAAAAAAAAAAAAAAAAAAAAAAAAAAAAAAAAAAAAAAAAAGAAAAGGAAAAAAAAAAGTCGGTATTTACATCAACGAGACGGCAACTGGCAACGGTCGGCGCTCCGGTCGGAACAGCGCTTCGTTCTTTGAGACAGCGCTTTCAATCCTCTCCAGAAATTTATACAAGACGGCAGCGTTAGCACGGCAGCGGGGTACGCGCGCCTCCCAGACTCGGCGCACATTCCAAAAACAACTCCTCCCCCCCCCCCGCCCCCTTCCACAACCCGGAGACGACGCTTCTGCACTCAAACACGGAGCCGCCAAGCTTCGAGTCGCAAGCTCCATGGGAGACGCGCGGAGCGCCCGTCGAACCCGCAAAACACTCCTACGCGACGCAAAACTCCCTCCACAAAAATACAAACGAGAGCGTCTTCTCTCGTCACCGAAAATCTATCGACTCGAGTGGGCGTCCCCTCCCGTTTCTTTAATAGTCGCTGCGGTGAGATCCGCGCTCGGCGGTCGGTGGCAGAGAGCGGGACGCTGACCGACCCCGGCGGACACAAATTTGCGAAAAGTCCAAGTTTTCCTTCGCTGCCTCTCGGGCCTTCCGCGTCCCCCCGCCCTGCCTCGCATTCCGCTCCGCGGAGGACCCGTGGAGCGTCGTCGCCGGATTTCCGAAGGAAGGGGAGGGGGGAGGGATTGCCTTCCCCTCCTCTCCCTCTCTTCCCGGGGGTCAGAGGGGGGCACAACTGGGGAGGGAGCGGCGTTGTCAGTGCTGATGCTTCTTCCTGCTCCTCTTGCGGTCGTCTACCTGTCCGACGCCTTGGCCACGCCGCTCTGCAAGGGCACGGGACAACCACACCAGTGTCAGTACGAACCTGTCCCAGAAATAATCCCTGACGAGATTGTCCTCGGAGGGCGGGTTTAGAGAATACTCCCTTTTGGAGTCCCGCCGGAGAAAGCGTTAAACCACCTGTATTCATAGACATTGCAAACGTGCCTCGTCAACAACCTTTACGGCTGTCTTGGGACATCAGTTGACAACAAAGCATGTCAACATCGACGTCTTCCGAGTCGAGGAGATTGACTTTTGATGTCTTATCTTCGATTATCTATGAGAATAAAATGTATCTGCCAGATCTTAATTTATTTTTTTATTCATTAAACCACAAAGACGTTGATTTCATAGTATTACGGCAAAATATTCTGTCGGCATTTCATAAACCGTCTAAAAATTAAGTTTCTTTTTTTTTAACTGTCTGAAACGACCATGTGACACTCCCCGGCAGCACGAGCAACAAAACGTCACGACAGCTAAGTAAAAAGGTTGCGCAGATATTAAACTTTATTTAATCTTCGAACACTAAACTGGGAGCGATGAAAACATTTTAGTTATTTAGTGGCGTTCATGTATTAATTGCATGCAGTACATTGCGTGATTGCAGTACAGTTTCGGTTTCAAACATGTCCGGGTCCTTCGTAGTTTAGTAACCGTTGTAACTCTGCTGTTCGTCCTGCTGCAGCTTGCACTCGTTGTGGAACCTGATTGTTGGTTGCAATTATAATAAAACAAAGTTGAGCAATAAAATAAGTTACAACCCAAGAGGATTCGAACTTGGAACTTCACAAAATCAGTGGGAAGGAGAGACGCGCATGCGCAACCTTTCGACTAACGGCACGTCTGTTTTCGGGCCGCTTACTTTTGCGTCTTAGCCACAGGACGCAGAATGTTGGTATTTCCCACGACCGGCTGTCACGAGTTTTCCATCAATCTACCTCGGCAGTAACTTGACATGCCAATCCTCCAGTATGCAAAGTCAATCAATTTTTTCGGATACATTTCCAGCCTTCTCGTCCTTTTTCTGCAAACGAATTGGCACCTTTCAGGTCAAAGCGAGAACATATTCGTGGCCCGTCATTTGACAATTGTCGGGACGCGGCTTAACCGATCCATGTTGCAAACGATTCCCTCACAAACTCTCCTTTGTAGCACGGCGTACTGCAGCACGTACAGTGTGGGCATACGGCTCGAAACCTAAAAGCTGATCGCGGTGTAACAGGCGATGCAAAGGCGGCTAGAGGTCGGACATCTTATTATCTAAGCACCATATCAGACGACCGCTGTTGGAGCTATATCAGACGCTCTGGCTTTGCCCATAGAGTCCGGCCAATGTTGCCATCTTGCGCAGACAACAAAAATTCCCCAGCGGTTACCTATCATGATGTATTTGTAGAAACAAGAGGGAAGCATCCCAGGAAACCGAAATTACCTTTTTCGCTCTAGTGAGTGAATCCGGACAAACGAAACAACGAATGTGGGTTATGAAATAAAGGACAAGGATTCCAGATAGTCTTGTGCGAATAGTAGATATTAAGTTTGAAGCGAATTCGAAGCGAATAGTGGTTTTGGCCGAATATTTTCGATTCAAATATCGAATAGTTTTTCCACGCCTTTCACTACCATTGCATAATGCTTAGAAAAAACCCAGCTAAACTTCTGAAGGTTGTTCCACTTGTTCATTTATAAGCTAAGTTTATCTATATTTATGAACTGTGGCCTCAGAAGGTCTGGTGACTTGGGATGGCAAGTAAACGACGAACTTGACATGAAATGAATCCTGTAGAGATGGCCAACTATACCCAGAGGAGTTAATTTACATATCTTGCTATATAAAATATTCTTTCTTTAATCTCGAGTTAAAAAAGAATGAATCGTGCATGATGAACGCAGGTTGTAAGGGCATCTCTGACTAACATAGTATATTCTTGCATAACAGTTTAATTTTAAAACTTTTACTGCAATGTAGATATACAGATTCACAAAGTTTTCATTTATTTTCTAATACAGTCGGCACAGGTGCACCATCCCGCTTTGAATGTATGCTTTACTTCCAAGCACGCAATTACAATATTCATACTTTTCAAAGTTTATCGCAGCGGGTTACCCCGTTGGGTGCGCTTCTTACCAAGCACCGGTGCGCTGCGGAGAAGCAACACCCGCGAAGCTCGCTTCCGCGGGTATTGCTTCTCCGCAGCGCACCGGTGCTTGGTAAGAAGCGCACTCAACGGGGCCAACCTACGGCAATCAACACTTCGAAAAACGCGAATAGTGCAGTTCTTCTCGAAGCAAATATCGAATAGCGTATTATTCGGAACTACTATTCAAAATTTCGAATATTTGCACAACCCTAATTCCAAATAGATATATAGCTCAGAATTCTGGGAAAATGTTTCACGACTCTTTTAACGACGCTTGCAGTGTGGCCTACTTGCGTGAAAGCAAGACTGCATTTTCTTCCCCTTCACTTAGCAAAGTAGCCTTCCCCCGTCGTGCATGCATGTATCAAGTCTCTCAAAAGAAAGACACCAAAAGCTTAGCTTCCAAGGGCTGCAATGCCTATCCTAAGACAGTAATCTGGAAGGCACGAAATTCAATTCCTTTCACATGAGACAAAGCAGTCTGTGCAGCTCTGCATTGCTAAACTACAAGTGACTACCGCTGTCAGAGATTTTACCATTGATACCCATACGTGGTCTACCGCCGTCATTGAAATTGCACCCCTGATACACGAAAAAAAAGGCAAAGAGTTTTTTCCCCAACAGCCATCGTTTGATGCCCCAACAAGGTCACTGCCTCGCCCCCTCCTGCAGAGCACCCACCTTTGTGAGGGCCCCTGAGGGTGGGTTGTGGTGCTCGCTTTTCCGCCAGGGAGGGTACGGGGGAGCCGCGTGGGCTGGGGTGCCGTGCTGCTCTCCGTTCATGCCTGCCACAAGAGAGGACGTACATCAAACACACCTGCCCCTCGGTCAACCCGCCATGTCCGGCAAGGAGGGACCTCGACCCCATACAGTTCCTACGACGAGTTTCGGGTGCATCAGAACAACCGGGCACAGACAATCAGTGGTCCCATTAAGCCCACATGGCTAGGGAAGCTCCGACAGTATTTTAGGATACGCAAACCAACTGCACCATAACCTCGTTAAAAAACAAATCCGGTTAAAACAGACGTTCAGTTACAACATACATTCAAATACAATGAACTACATTAGAGGGTTTTGTAAGCAGTTCACCGTTCCATTATAGTAGACTCTTCGGCGGCAGTCTTTACTTCAAACGTGGCACGGCTTTGGTTCGGTAGCGACGGCATCCATTTTGCAAACTACCGTCGTCGCGCTCGGCACTTCGCGAGCCTCGCACGACCCGAAGCGTGCAGCGACGACGATCCTTGGTACGGCTCAATAAAAAATCGATACATTTCAAAGTTCAGAAGTGTCCATGAACCAGTTCTTTTCTAATATCCATTCGCATTTCATCAGTCTCACTGGTTACAAGAAACTCCCGTCGTAATCAACCTCAAAATCTGAGGCAAGAGTATCTGCGTCCTGCATACTCCTGTCACGACGGACCAAAACCTTCATCGCTATCAAGGTCTGTTTTAATGAGTTTACGCAGTAAATGGGAGAACACCTGGGCTGCACTTTTGCGGACATGCCGTTTATTATCTCGAAATTCAGCATAGTCATAAAGAAAACGGCAAACATGGAAATTGTCATAACCAACATTCGAATTTTTCAGCGCTTTCCACGGGTTTACGTCTTTGCCGTTGAATGACGTTCGTTTCACATCGTCATAATTCTTGGAATCCGTCAAAAAAAAGTTGTACTACCCAAATTACATTTATCGTCACATTTTGAACATCGCCAGTAGAGCCTTTATTTAAAAATCAAAGAACTTAATGAAAAATAATATTCAAAGAAATCTTTTTGATTACTACGGTAGCTTGCAATAATTCAAACTCTGATATTTCATATTCCTGGTTAATTCAACCAAATTTCAAAATTGCGCTGTCCTGTTACCAAACAGTGTTTCCGTGTAATTCATAAATTTTTGTTTTTAAAGTCCAGTATAGTGCGCTTCTTATCGAGCACCGGTGCTAGGTAAAGAGGTATCCAAACAGGATACTACAAAACGCACAACTCCGACAAACCGTGCGGCGCTCCGCTTCCAGCTGTTTTTCTTTGCCAGGGGGAAACTTTCCCCTGTCAAATCTCCCCCTTGCTTCCTCCTCGGCAGCCTTGCTCTGCTCATCATGTGGGTGCAGAGAGCCACTCACACGCTCTGTTGGCGAGGGAGAGATCTGACGGGGGAGGGAAATTTCCCCCTGGCAAAAAGAACTGCCGGAAGCGGAGCGCCAAACTATTTGTCAGAGTTGTGTGGCCCGACGATCTTTGTAGTGCCCTGTTTGAACACCCCTTGGGGAGACACGGCCTCAAAATTTCGATTTTTTCTGAAAAAATGAATTTTTTAAAAATTTAACATTTGGGTTTACCAACTTTCGTCGCATAGTTTCAGAAAGTTTTATTTATAAATATGCAGTTTTTATTTAACTAAAAATTATTTTCGGCGCGCTGGCGGAAGCACGCTCTGTCCCGCCGAGCGAGCAAACGGCGAGGATCGGCGTTTTCAAACTACGACTCCGCGCCCGTTCGGCGTAGCTAGGACATTTCAGCCTCGTTGGAAGCACCTTTTCTTCTAGTTTTTGCCACGAGAAGCTTCCTACGTTAGAGTGTATCGTCGTTCCAGGAGAGCCCCGCGCATCCAAGCAGAATAAAAGAGGCAAATGCGATACGAGTGATCCCATTGGTTGAAAACCGAAACCGCGCTCACGATTGGCCGTGCTTGGTGATGTCATGCCTTGTTTACGGCAATTGCGCGTTTTCGTCACTCTTTCGCTCCGGATCGTATCACTACATTGCAGCTCTTTAGATTCGTTTTCCTCATTGTTCTTGGTAGTTCTGTCGAGGAATGCCTGCCATCAAAGCTAGCATTGGTTGTAGCTTTGGCCGACGCTCTCGGTCTTGAAAAAAGAGGTTGGTCAGGAGGACGCCCTGCAAGAAGCGCCGTACCGTCGTCGTCATCACCACCTTCATCGCCGCCGTCGTGATCCTCCAGTTCCCGGCTGACATCGGAGCCTGTTGCATCAACATCCTCCAGCCTTCACTGAATCGGATATCCTGACAGCGTTTGAGCGGAAGCTTGGTCTTCTTGAGTGCAGTGTGGACGACGTAGAAACGGCGGACACTCCTGTTGAAGGGCCTCCGGAAGGCTATCGCCTTCTCAATGTGTTGGCCGTGCAAGCGCTAATCGACGCTTTGGACTGCCCCAAGTGCCATGGAGGAGAACTCAGTTTGCGAGAGTCGGGGACTGGTGCCGATCTGCAATTTGTACTTCATGCGCATCTTGCGGAGACATCGTTGCCACACCGCACTCACCATCAAACGGCAAGTCTCGTCAAAGCGAACTAGCGATGCGTCTGGGCGTTGTTGAAAGAGACTGTGGAATTGGCTTTACGAAGCTCACAAATCTCTTCGGTGGCCTCAATGCTCCACCTCCTATGCATTTTAAGTCTCATCAGAAGATTGCGGCTAAAGTGCACGATGCGGCGATGCTGGCGGCGAGCGAAGTAATGAAGGAAGTTGCAGAAACTGTCAGAAAAGGACAACAGACCGCAGAAACCAGTGCCGAGAACGATCTTCTAGACATCTGCATAACCTTTGATGGCACATGGCATAAGCGCGGACAGACATCACAGTTTAGAGTTGGCATTGCTATTGAGCTGGAGACTGGTTTTGTTATCGACTTTTCGGTGAAAAGCAAGTACTGCCATGGGTTCCAGTTGGGCACCAATAAAGGAAGTGAAGGATTTGAGAAGTGGGCACAAAGTCATACAGAAACCTGCCAGAAAAACTTCGAGGGATCTTCGAATGCGATGGAAGTGGCGGCGGCTGCAACCATCTTCAGCCGCTCCGTCGAATTGCATAACATGCAGTATGTCGCTGTCCTGTGTGACGGCGACAGCAAGGCTTTCACACACGTCGCTAGCCTTGAGCTTTATGACAAGCCTATCCAGAAAGAAGATTGCATAAATCATGTGGCAAAGAGGATGTATGCGGGATTGGAAAAGCTGAAAAAGGCCAAAAAAGGACTCAAAAGAAAAGGAAAGCTTAAAGGCAAATCGCTGACTAGAAAATGTTTGCCGGAGCTTCCTTCTAATAAACAGAAGGAAGCCTCAAGACATCGCTCACAAAGTCAGCACCTAGTTTATTTCTAGCTTCATTATTTTTCAATGCTGCTGAACATTGCCGCGGAATATGTTGCAAGTATGAAGCTCCATGCTTTTTTGTACAGCCCGAGAGCGAAAACTCGCAGAAAATAAAAGCACTTGTTGACCCGAAAGGGTCAACTTTTGAACCTTTGGCTCAATACAAATAGAATGTATAGTATATACTGGCAGTTGCCAGGCAGAATGCAGTGCAAAGTTTGATCTGACACATGAATTGTGAAAGAAATTCTCATTTTTATCAGGAACACACTGACATTATTCAGGAAAACTATCTTTTGAAAACTAATGTAATGCCCAACAACCTGTAAAGTGCAAATGTAAAAACAAAATTTCTAAAAATTGATTTTATGAAAACATGCTAAAAAATTGTTAATTGTTACATTGTTTGCCTATTACGACGGTGAAAACCTTAGCGTCTTCTATAAAAGATATTCAAAGTAAAAATCGAGTGCCACAGTTGCTTTGCCAATTGAATTCCAGCTAGGAAAAACAATATAACGAGTGAGCCTTTCCTTTTGTCTAGTTACCAAGCGATAGTTTTCCTAAAGTAAAATTTACGCCAAAAAGTGGAACAGAGAAAAACGCATTCAAAGTGCTTGAACCTCTACCTTTTTTTTTAGCATCGGTGAACCACAAATAATTTATAAAGAAAAATAACTTTACAGTGTAAACAAATGAAACTTTCTTGGACTGCAGTGGAGCCCACATATAACAGCCTCACTTAAAACAAACACTGTGTTATTACCAGTGGCGTAGCCAGGGATGTTTTTTTTTTTTTAAGGAGGTGGGGGGGGGGGGGGGGGGGCTGAAGCCCTTGGGGAGGGAGAAGGGGGGGGCCCCCATTACCCCTACGCTCCTGCTCATTACAAACAATTTCTAATCCCCAAACATACTTTGCAAGAATGTTAAAGAAGACTTCACTTTTAATGGCTGTCTCTGAGCAGAATCCTCAGAGGGAACAGATGAAAGGAAGCGGCGGAGGGGAGAGAAGCAAAATACGGAAGGACCGCTGGCAGCGCCGAGATCTTATCTTGGGGAGGGGGGAGACAGGGGGAGGGGGGTAAGGGATGAAGAAAGGAAGGGAGGCACCCAAGGCCATCGGTTTGTGCACACTCTGGACTCTGTTCAAGCTTATTGGTCCATTCTCTCATAGGGAAAAGAAGCAAGCCTATGTGGTTTGGCGATTTTTTTTTTTTGCACTTTGTTATTTTTGGTTGCTCCGGCTTTGCGGTCTTCCATGTATCGTTCCTCAGAAGCGTATTGTCTCTTCTCGCTTGGTTTCAGCTCGACCTGCGAGCTGTCTTCTTTGGTCGATCCCCGAGTTTTCGCTCACCATGACGGACATGGCTTCGACTTCAAAGAACGGAAAGCGACTGACATGGGCACGAAATCCGCAATCCTTCAGGAGCTGAGTGCCGGGGCAAAAAAAGGCAACCCGTGCAAGAAATATGGCTTATCAAAATCCACCAATTCGACCGTCGCCAAGGACAAGGAGAAGATCATTGCAGCAATGAGCATGAACGGTGACTGCAGTGCTCGGAAACGGCTGCGGCGTGCCGCGTACAAGGACGTCTAAGACACTCTCTTCGAGTGGTTGCTCGACGCAAGAACAATGAATGTCCCCATCAGCAGACCCCTGC